GTTCGCGACACCGGTGATGGTGCCTGTGCCTCCGACAGAGAGAGCGGGAACGAGCCAGTCGCTCTGTCCAGCAAGAGCAAAGAACTCCTCGGGCTTAAACTGAGCTGCTATGCGAGCAACCTTTGCGATGCCACCACATGTCAACTTCACGCCAACAATGTTGGGGTGCTGGCCCAGACGCTCGAGCATCTCTGAGTTGACGTCAAGGCCAGCGACAACACCAGGGAAGTTGTAGATGACGACGGGAACAGGGCTCGCCTCGGCGAGCTCTTCGAAGAAAGCCACGATGGCATCTTGTGTCATGGCAAAGTGGAAGTAGCTGGGAGTGAGAACAAGGACAAAGTCGGCGCCAGCTTCCTTAGCGAGCTTTGTCTCGTTAATGGCATCTCGTGTGGTTTGTGATGAGGTGCCCAGTGTGATTGTGATATCGGGGCGGCCAAGGGAGACTGCGATCTCTCGAGTGGTTCGGACGAGCTGTGACTTTTCGGCGGCGGAGAGTGTGACGGCCTCTCCGTTTGTTCCAGCAATAACGACTGCAGTTTGTTAATTTGATTCATGTGATTCATTCGTCTGAACATACTTCCGTCAAGACCAGAGCTTATCAAGAACTCGATGTGCTTCTTCTGAACGTCCCAGTCGATCTCTTGGTTGGCATCATTGGCAAACCAAGTCAGAGAGGGAACGTGAATTCCGCCAGGGAATGGCTTGCTCGTTGTCGCGATTGAACCCATTGTGAATAATTGAGATTAGATGCTGGGATACTGCTTGTTCAGATCACAAGATGTTGGAATGAAGAATGAAGAACAAGATCAGAGCAAAGATGATCAATCGTCTCAAGATCAATGGAGAGGGTTTTGTTCCACACTCCGATATTGTGGAGATATTCTTTCTGCCCCCATCGGATCCACGGGTATCATGCCACGTCCCATGCGGGGATCGATGCAATTCATGACCATGATGGTTTGTCGGTTCGTCCAAGTGCTAAGACCCATCCCCAGCTTCGTCCACTTTAGCATCATGCGGGGAAGTTGGAGACAGCCACATCCGATCGGCTCGACGAGTGTGGGTGGGGCATCGAGCCGAGCGTCAACTCGAACTGTTGAAGAACAAGAGAAGAGAAGCTAGAGAAGCTATCCATGCCAAGTCGCATGATATTAGTGGCATGAGCCATGGGAACTAGTTTGTCCCGATCTGTCGGATGCATATGCGAAGCTAGCTAAATGGTAGTTGGAGTTGCAGAAAGGTTGGTGAGCGACCATTGGTGGTAATTCATTGGCGATGTTCCGTGCTTGTCCAAGGAGCAAGCCGTTAGAAGCCGACCATGTCCCAAACAACTCAGACAATTGCAAAGCATGAGTTGAAAACGGCATGCATTACGGCCCGGATATCCATTCGTGCCTTGGCAGCGTCTTGTCGAGCTTGAACCTCTTCCAACACTTGCGCCGTGATGCGCGCGTTGCCAGCAACCTTTTCCATTCTGAGAATTTGAGTCTTTATCCACGCCTTTTCGTTGGCGTCTTGCTCTTCGACTCCTAGCATCAGCAGCGGCCATAGCATGTTGACGGGAAGAGTATCCTCAGGGTCCAAGTCCGCCACAATTTGTCTAGCGAGATTTCGAATCTGATCTAATGCCTCGGACGCTTCCTTCGTCAGGGGAAGGTTCTTGTAGGCAACGCGGTGAAGGTGGACTTTGCTAGCGTAATAGTTCGAGAGGTACGTTCGAAATGCTCGCGTGATGACAAAAGCTAGATGCTTCGAGACGTGAGGCTCCTTGAGCTTGCCTGCCACAGCAAAATCCATCAATGGTGGACGGTGTTCGTATAGAGTTCGCAAATCCGCCGCTATGACCGTACCGATGTTCATGACTTCGATTTCGTCTTCGACCGTCCCTCGAGAACGATGCCAGGGGTCTATCTTTGATATCCTCCCCATGAAGCTTTGGACTTTTTGGTAGAACACAACGCCAGGCTGATACAACACTTGGAACAATACGTCCTCGATGTCATCAGTGGGATCTTTCGAAACTTCTTCAAGCTCACCATCGAAACTCGCGGGTGATGCTTCTACTAAAAGAACTTCGTCGTCTTTGGTGAGGAAAAGACCAGAGCCACCAGCCGTTACCGCCCGACCATCGAGAAGTCGAATCCAAAGAAGCAACTGCTTCTCTACTGCTGTTAGGCCGTGCTTATTACTACTTTGGAAGAGCGTATATGCGCGCTTGAGATTTGAGTGCGCAGCATCGAGACGACTCTCCAAGATATCGATATAGCTGAGAAAGAATAATGCTGCGAGAAGGTATTCGCGCGCAGGGCTGTGTTCCGACATTGGAGTGCCATCATGACTCGCGACCTCAGTAACGCCTCGCTGATAGTGATCCTCGTCGCTCATAGTCCAGTTTCCATCGCGTCGAGAAAGAAGTAAATTCGAGAAGGCCATGATCGCGTGTCGTACCATGGGAGAAATGCTTGCCATTTCGACTACAGCTTGTCGCATGGACACCCACTTCTTCTGAGTCTCGACTTCAGCGATGATAGGGGGGTTCACGGAGTTTGCGAAGAATTCCATCAACTTAGTGCTTGCATCCGTAGTATCATGGTCCCGGCTACCATTGCTCTGTGTCAGTGAGGGCGCTGAAAGTGGTGTCGTAAATGCTGTCCTGTCTGGGAATGTGATCTGCGATTGAGCCGCCTTTTCGTGTCAGTACCGCCCGCATGGATGTAGTCAATAGTTCCATCTTACCAACATATTTGTTTCCAGCCCCTGGTTCTGCTGTGTCTCTGGCGAAGCGTTTTGCCAAAAATCACCATAGTCCCACATGAAACTTGCGTAATCGAAGACTTCGTCAACTGCGTTTCCTGGTTGGAATACTGAGCTCCCCGGTGACGTGTCGAAATTCGGTGATAGGTGCTGCTCGATAGATTGATCAGGTACTTCAGTGGAAGGCGCTTGTCTCCTTTGAACTCCTGATCGCTGCTGGGGTCGCCATTTGCACTCCATATTCAGTCTCTCGCAATGAGAGCATCGTGGTCTTTGCTCATCACATTTGACTTTTCTCCTCCTTCGAGTTGATTAGATGCTGCATCTATTGACGCTTGGTTCATACATACTTGCATGTTAAACAACCCTCGCGTGAGCGGATCTGTCGTCGCGCCGAGGTCGCAGGTCTTGTATTTGATGGGCTGTGATTTTGAGGAGATGCACCGCTTGGAAGGCGAGGAATGAGAGGCCGTCCACTGTTCATGTCCATTGTAGCGTCTCGCCGCCGAAGTTATAAAAGATAGATGATGCTACAAGGGCTGATTAGGTCAATTAAAGTTGATGTATAATGCAAGATGAGGAACCTAGACCCGTCACCTGACGCGGAAGAGCTCCGTTTGCGTTTACATTTGCATTTGCGGGGCGCCTTCCAGAAGATCAGGAACCCGCGTCTACATCTGGGGTAATAAAAAGAAGGTGCTCTTCAAGTGTGTCTTCTCCAAGAATAAATAGCTCATGAATTTGTTTGTATTCATAAGGTGAGATGAATTCAGATTACCAACACATTATAACTTATCAATGATCTCTCCGCACATTTTGGAACCAATTCCCCCCTCTTTCACATCAAGTGACAAGTTTGATGACAGTGGGTGGATCGGCTAAGTCAATTCTGACACCCTTGGCGGGTGAGGCCCGAACTGTCGGGACAGACCAACGGTAGACTTAATATCTCTGGGCTCAGAAACGGGTTGGTTATAGAAAAGAACTCTGGTAGTATTAACAATCACTGGTGGAATATTCAATTTTACTGATAGTTCTATCAAAAAGCACATAGTGATAACACCAACTAAGTATTAGTTTGTGACCACTACTGAATGTCATGTCTTCATGGAGCAGCTTGACTTACACCGAGCTCAACGAAACCCAATAACAACCTTTGCGACTCGTTCTTTCTGTCGCACAAATACAACAGCGATGAATTTAAAATCTCACACATGATTCTACAACTCAATGTGCATCTATATGACGTCAGGCTTCATGTGGACGGTTAAAATCACTTAACCTTTTCGTTTCGCTGCAACTTCATCTTCTTAACTCAAACACCTATTTATCCTCATATATCAAGACAGCCCTCCATTTCTAACAAAATATTCTGATAAAGATTGAAACACCTCAAGTCGTTTGTCATGCCTACTCAAGAAGTGCTTAGCCAGTGGGAAGCTTCTTCCCCGACTACCAGAAGCGAAGGCCCCCTTCAAGGCACATCAAACCGTTCGTCTCCTTCAGCGTTACCTTTAGTCATTCAACTAACATCATACTTCTCAAGCTCCTCAGTCCCTGGTTTCTAAACACGAGTGCTTTGCCGCGCGACCCACCGCGGAAGTATGCCCGACTTGTAACGATGGACGTCTTGCGCTCGATCAGGTATTATAGTCCCAAGATTTGGAGACGAAAGGCTAAGGGGTTCCAACAGGATCGTGTTCGCAATAATGGTGCTCGTACGCCCGGCTCTATCCACGCCGACATCGTCGCACAGATAGAAGCGAAGCGAGAGCGAAAGGCCTCGGAGGAAGCAGAGAAGGACAAGAAGAAAGCCGAGGTTGAGGAGAAGTCAGCATAGAAATACTGTTGCGTTGCGTATTTCTCGGCGCCATGTCTGCTATCGAAAAAGGGCTTGGTAGCGCGGGTCTATGATCCTCTTGGTGGTTGATCATGGGTAAGGAACGGAGTTCTGTCTTGTTCGTAAAACGTTGCTCGGAATAGGCTTCTTTCGTCATTTTCAATTTGATCTCTATCTCTGGTGTCATCTGATCACAAACAGCCCTCAAACATGTGCGTGTTGACTAAAAAAAAGGGAAACTCAAAGAAGGACAGAAACAGAAGCCTGGGAGTTTGCCAGTACCCCAACTTGAAAGCAGTAATCGGACATCATCTTAGAAAATTGGTATATGTTTTCTATTATATCTTTTGTACGTCTAAACATCTATCATCATATCAACAAAATGTATCCCTGCTTGCCCTCTCTAATGACCCTGAGACAGGTTCACAACAGCCCATTTTCCGTTCCACGCCCACTTTCGAGCACCAGAATCACCACCGCCACCCTCAAGTTGCTTCAACTCCTCATCCTTGCCCTCCGGAAGACCAACGACAACATCGGCCTTGCATGTTCGCAAGGATAAGATGTTGACGCCTGACGAGGGACCCATGGGGCCGAGGGCCTCGATAAAAGGTGTGGTAGCGGGCCAAGCAGCCTGTCACAAGTCAGCGTTGGTTTCAAACAAGATGGAGGTTACTTACATCAGCGACGAGCTTGCGGTAGTTCAGGTCGCCCTTGAAGATGACAAGTTCGGCTTCCTTGAGCTCCTCGTGCAACTCAGGGTTCTCAGCCGGTAATCGCCAGAAGCTACCGCCGTAAGTCCAGTACCGGTTTGGTCGGAGCATAAGTTGTCCCTCAGCGTGGAACGTAGCCCACTCCTGGAATAGGAACTTAAGGTCCTTCTCGCCCTCCTCAGATAGGGGCTCAGGCTTCTTGCCCTGAAGTTCCTCATCCTCTGACGGTGTGTCATAAAGAGCGCGGGGGTTGGCAACAGCGTTCAACAAGCCGCTGAAGTCGCTGGGCACAACGTCGGAGACGAACCAGGGGATGGACTTGGGTCGTAGGACAACTTGTGTGGCGAGACCAGCTGAGAGAAGGTAACCGGCCAGAATCATATCGACATACAACTCAAAGCCAGCATTGTCGAGGACGATATCAACGCGGCGCTCCTTCTTGCCCTCAGCCTGTGCTTTCTTAAGGATATCAAACGCCTTAGGGAGATCGTTGACGAGGATGTTCTTCTCGGCCGCCTTACGAGCCTCAGAGCCCTGGAGTTTCTGGATATCCTCATAGGTCAAGTTTGTGAGTAGTGACAAGTCTGTAGCGTTTCCCCACAGGCAAATCTCGAACATCTCCTGGAACAGAGTCTTCTCGGCCTTGGGATCATGTGTTGAGTCCTTATCAGCACGGAGCTGCTCGACTAATTGTCTATAGTTGCTAGCGAGCTCGAGAACCGCGGGTCTTGATGATCGGAAGGTGTCCATCTTCTGTCGGGCGAAAAGATCGTAGGATCTCCAGTGTTCGGTCATGCGGAATATGGCCGCGATGCGTCTGAATGTTGTGAGCGGCGCACGCAGATAGCCATTGTCGCATGGACTTACCTGTATAGGTAGCATTCGGAGAACAACCATGGTACATCGTACCAGTGAGCATCGGGGCCAAGAGCCTCGAGCTCCTTGTTATATGTCTCGATCTCTTCCGTGAATCCATCGTCGGGGAGGGGACTACACAGTCAGCTGTGGTGTTCTTCTGTGCGCGATATAAGTATATCGTACCTGAGCTTTCGGTCATGCTCGACCTCGTACTTGAGATTGGCGAGTTGCTCGATAATCTTCTTGCCCTCCGCTAGTTTCTCGGGGTCGCTGGTCTTGGTAACGGCGCGGTAGACATCGTCAATTCCCTGGGTCTAATTCAGAGTTAGAGAGTGCCTCGTGAGCGACACATGCAGACGTCTTACAAGAATGACAGGCCATCGCCTCTTGACGGATTCACTCGCGAACGAGGTAGGATCGCTCGTTTTGTATTGGGCTGTCGGCGGAGTCAGTCGCGTTCGAAGGGAGAGTCGAGAAGCACATACGGGTCTTGGTGTCGTGCTCCATTCTGCTATCTTTCTCACCACCGAGATATGAAGAGGAGGGAGGATAAGTTTTCTGCTGATCGATCTTGAAGATCTTCAGGGAGCAATTATTTAAAGGTCTAGTCCGCCATCATGGAAGCGGAGGGGTACGCGGGGCACTTTTTTTGGTGGGGTTCAACAGGAACAGTCTCGAATCTGACGTCAGGAGCAATTTTGAATGCCGAGCTGGTCGGAAAACACCATGAGAGGCTAGACCTGACTACTGAGGCTTGGAAGAGCTGTCTAATTGCCTGATTAGGAAATAAAATCATGAATAATTAGCTGAAGACATTGTGAGATGACTGATTGTTATCATTGTCCAAGTCAGTCACAAATGGTAATTCATTCTGTCATGATAAGAACGATTGCCGACTTAACCAGTTCATCTATCTCTCCATAGGCCCTTCGGTTCGTTGTGAGTAACCTGAGACTCGGCATACCTAGTATACTTTAGACTATCCATGAGTATGTTTCGAAACCGCATATTTCCCTTTCCTGTAATTTGCCTCTCTGACTCGCTCCCAGCTAGCCTGAGCAACGATTTCAGCCGGTTCGGTTGAAACATTCGATTATTCGATCGGCCGATACTCTTGGTAAAGTGTCTCGAGCTTGAGATCTCTCTTCCTCATCTGGTTGCTTCGTCTTCATCTCTTCTCTAACCTATGCATCTATTGATCATAATGATCGCCATCAGGGTCCCAAGAATGTGTTCTTTCTGTGTCTGTTCCGCACTTCAGCTATAATGTTGGTCCGAATAGCATCAGCTGCATGTTTCTGTTTACCCAAGATCCGCACCACTCAACCGGCACGTTCATCCCGACTACCCTGCCCACATCTCAATTAAGAAGAAACATACCAGGTAGTGACGGTTCATCCGACCTGAGAAAAAAGGCATTGAATCGTCTGTTTCAACAAGGTTGTTTGAGTTTACATCATGTTTGGTCCGCTTATGAAAGGGTCACCAAAGCGTTTCGCTAATCCTCAACCCAGTCAGGAAATACTAGCTACACCTCCGATTGGCCCGCAAGTTCAATCATCAACCTCACTTTGTACAATTCATCGAACGACTCCAAATACGCGACGCAGAGGAAGGTAGTACTCGGCTTCATCCTCGGTGGATCACCAGCGCTGAAGCGGTAAAAAGAAGTGCATTTTTCCATCTGGGGAAAACGGGAGCTGGCGATGAGCCGCACCAATTAGTACGAGTTGGACGTCGTGTGATTTGTTGATCAATTCCGATCTGAGACTTTCCCCGGACTTGTTTTTGTGGAGGCATCGACTTATACGACTTTAACCAGCAGTTGTCTTATTAGCCGGCAGCTCAAGCATCATGAAGTGCCGTACCGGAATTAGACGATCATGCTCATGAGTCGAGTGTATATAAGAGTCGTGTTTCCAATTCCTCTCCAGTTGATATCTTGTACATACTCAACAGCTCTAGTATCTTTACAATGTTCTTCAATACCCAATCTCTCGGTGTCGTGGCCCTCGCCGGATTAGCCACGGCCGTCCCTTCACGAAACCATCTTCAAACTCGTGAAGTTGGCAAGCTTCCTGCTCTTGGCTGGAACGGCTGGGTGAGTTCCTCTCGAGTATACCTGTCCATCTGTTCGTCGCTAACAGTACCTCCAGAATCAAGGACAATGTAACGCAGCTAGTGAGAAAGTTGCCCTTGCTACAGCCAAGACCTTCATCAGTCTGGGTCTCAAGGACGCCGGATACCAATACGTCAACATTGATGACTGCTGGTCTACAAAGCAGCGAGACTCTAAGGGCAACCTCGTCCCTGACCCTGCAAAGTGGCCAAGAGGTATCAAGCCAGTAGCCGATGAGATTCACGCAATGGGTCTCAAGTTCGGTCTTTATGGTGACGGCGGAGTCAAGACTTGTGCAGGTTATCCAGGAAGTCAAGGCCACGAGCAGCAAGATGCAAACCTTCTTGCCAGCTGGGGTGTCGACTACTGGAAGTACGACAACTGTTACACACCCTGCAACACAGGCAACGCTGCTGATATTCAGACATGTCCCAACAACCAAGCTCCCAGCTCTAAGCCTCGCTATGAGAAGATGAGGGATCTCCTTCGGGCTACAGGAAGGGATATCCTCTATTCGCTCTGCAACTGGGGTTATGATGAGGTTTGGACCTGGGGTGCTCAGGTTGGACACATGTGGCGAATGAGCCAGGACAACTGGGGCAAATGGGCAGATGTTGTCCGCATTGCTAACCAGGCGGCACCTATCCTGAAGTACACTGTACCAGGCCACTACAACGATCTCGACATGATGGTGAGTCTTGACCCTACCTTCGCCTTTATTGAGTATGGAGCTGACCAAAACCTAGATCCTTGCCAACGGTGCTCTCACTCCTGCTGAGGAGCGCACTCACTTTGCCATCTGGTGTATCACCAAGTCTCCTATCATTCTTGGAACAGACATGACCAAGCTTAACAGCGATGAGGTCAAGTTGATCACGAACAAGGTATCTACGACCATTTCCCTGGCCCCTCCTAACACCTGCTAACTATGCTCCAGGGCCTTCTCGCCGTTAACCAAGACTCGCTCTCCAAGCCTGCTGTGCCTTTCACTCCTCCCAACACACCCACCAAGGGTAGCGGCGAGATCTACCCTTACTGGTCCGGCCCCATCTCAACCGGAACAGTTGTCGCCATCGTCGCTAGCAAGGGCAACTTGAACACTCAGCTGAACCTCAAGGACGTTCCAGGACTGAAGGATATGGAGTACTCGTGGACTGAGCTTCTGACTGGTGCCAAAGGAAAGGGCAAGACTGTCTCGGCCAACTTGCAGACACACGATGTTGCGGTCTTCCGCATTGACCACAACTAAGCCAATGGGTTTGAGACTTTTTGAAGAGTATATATTTTGAAACTGTATCTACGATTCTATGTACAAAAATCGTTGGAGGATGCTGCCACGCAAGGTCCATAAGTGGATGGATAGTTAGTACATAGCATGAAACTTGGTTCTCGAGTCTCTCATAAACTCTGGCTTTCTTTGATGACCCAAAGTTGAACAACACAAGCCTTGGCCAACCTGGTGGCGATCTCTAGTAGTGACCGAACATCTGCTGGCAAAACTGTCAACATTTGCTATGTTGACCTCGCTCCACAGGAAATCATACTGTCCACGTTGGAAACGTTATGTAAAGTGAACTTCCACCGCAGCCGCTATGCATTACGCCGAAAAGCACAGTAGCCATGATGTCATCTTCAGCAAGATATCATAGATTTATTCCTTTTGCATTTGAGACAAGATCCAGTAATATCTATGGGCGAGGTTTCTCCCAACAAGAGCGCACGCAGTGAAGCTACCCTGCACTGCGAACTTTTCTCCCCAGAGTTATTGCGATGATCCAATAATGATGTGTTGCTCTTAAGAGCATGGAAACAGAGCCTGACTATGGGCCAACTTCCAGAATGTCCTGTTCAAAGCAAACTCGACAATGTATTTCATAGACGCTTGTTTGGGACAATATATATCTTCACCCCAAATGACCAAGTCAACTCGCCTGAGGCGCATCACCTCCTCCCTGCTTCTCATCCTTCTCCTTCTTTTCTTGCTCTGACTCGGGTCTCTTTGTCAAAATCTCGTCGATAACGCCGAGTTCTAAAGCCTCCTCAGGAGACAGGTATTTATCCCGTTCCATCAGATCATTAATCTCCTCAAGAGAATACTTTTCATGACCTTTTGCCTTGTTGAGATGGTACTGCATGATTCTATTCGATTGTTCCCGTGTCTTCTGGATCTGGTTTGCGTAAATCATGATATCGGATGCTTGGCCTCGAGTGCCACCCAGCGGTTGATGGATCATAATCGAGCTGTGGGGAAGAGAGAATCGCTTGCCCGCTTCACCTCCTGCGAGGAGGATTGCAGCCATTGACGCAGCGCCACCGACACACACTGTTGACACTGGTGACTTGATGTATGTCATGGTATCGTAGATCGCCATTCCTGTGCCCCTTGTGAGCCTCGATTGTAAATTGGTTATCGGGCGAACGTACCTGAGGTGACGGAACCACCAGGAGAGTTGATGTACATCGTGATCGGCTTATCTGGGGTATCGGACTCGAGCCAAAGCAGCTGTGACACGATCGAAGCAGACATGTAGTCGTTAACTTCACCATTCAGGACGACTATGCGTTCCTAGAACTATTAATAACGATAACTCGATGGCTAGAGCTTGTCCTTCCTTACCTGTAGGAGCTTGGAAAAGATATCCCCTATAACCCATCAGCTTCTTGAATCATTTGCGATACCAATTCAAACGAACATGTTTTCCTTCCGGCAGCCTGCAATAATTAGCTGCGCGCATGCAACAACCTGGACTCAGGCAGCTTACCGACGACTCCTCGATGTAGGGCATGGGAATGTTGCCCCTTGGTGATATTGGCGAGTTTCCGGAAGAACTGGAGAAGCCAAAAGCTCTCACATGTTGTTGCGACACGCCGCGCAGCACGCGCAACATTCTTGGCCGCAGAAACATGATCGCGAATGGATGTGAACGGTGATGTAAGTTTACGGACCGGGGCCGGGCGGAAGTGGTGGGGGGATGGAAGCTACGAAGCTGGGGCTCTTATCGATAAGGATCCGACCACGGGAGAAATTTAGCTGCTCATCGAACGCTTTGCGACAAGCATAGCATCACAAGTCAACAATGAGTTCGTTATAACACCACGAGCACCATGAAGAGATACACAAAGGCCTGCGTTGGCCATATTAGAACGTCTGGGTCACCGATCAATTGCCAAAAACGATGGCTTTCTTACGACAAATCCGAATTGAGCAAAAAGGCCCTCTTGAACCAGATCGAATCGGAACTTGATCGAATGGCGAGCGGCAAACGAGCGAGAATCCATCCTGAAGACAAGACTGTAGACACAGATGCTGGAAGATTACCGATATCTCCCGTGATGGACTACAAGTTCATGCAGGCGAGACGACGTACGAAGAAAGCGATGCCCACGG